TCCAGTCATCCACCCATTCACACACACATTCACACACAGGTGGGGGAATCTGTCCATAGGACAACTGTTAGTCGTGCACTGCACAAAGTTGGCCTTTATGGAAGAGTGGCAAGAAGAAAGCCATTGTTAACAGAAAATCAGAAGAAGTCCCGTTTGCAGTTTGCCACCAGCCATGTGGGGGACACAGCAAACATGTGGAAGAAGGTGTGCTGGTCAGAGTTGATGGGAAGATGGATGGAGCGAAATACAGGACAATCTTGGAAGAAAAGTTCTTGGAGTCTGCAAAAGACTTGAGACTGGGGCGGAGGTTCACCTTCCTGCAAGACAACGAACCTAAACATAAAGCAATGGAATGGGCAACAATGGAATGGTTTAAAACAAAACATATCCATGTGTTAGAATGGCCCAGTCAAAGTCCAGATCTAAATCCAATCGAGAATCTGTGGCAAGATCTGAAAACTGCTGTTCACAAACGCTGTCCATCTAATCTGTCTGAGCTGGAGCTGTTTTGCAAAGAAGAATGGGCAAAGATTTCAGTCTCTAGATGTGCAAAGCTAGTAGAGACATACCCTAAAAGACTGGCAGCTGTAATTGCAGCAAAAGGTGTGTAAACGACCACGGCAGACCCAGTGGCATTTTAACCATTCTTTATTAATACTGGACGGTTGCTGTTCACAATACAGGTAGAGCTGCAGCTCTCCCGCTGCCCATTCAACATCACCACAACAACAACTCCAACCACAGGACCCAGTACAATATTTAATTCGGCGGGGCATGACTCTCCCGGCTGGAGCGGCTCCTCGGGCGCCGCCTCCGCCGCTGTCTCTCCCGGCTGGAGCGGCTCCTCCGGCGCCGGTGTTGTGCCAAAGTAGTTACCCCCGTCAAAAATTGTTTCCCCATTCACGGGAGCGCGCAAAGTAGGAGGAGCCACTTGCCCAGCTCCGTTCTGTACGCTACTTGTCACTGATCTGCAGTCGACGCGATAAAGAGTAAAAGCTGGAAAACAGCAGACTCGATGAATTTAATATTAGTTTCGTGACATTGTAATGTGCCGTGTGGAAGACATGCAGTTTACCTTATACTGTACACTGAAATAACCTGCTGGGAATACTTTGTCTAGAAAAAGACTTTGATACTATAATACTGTAAAACCAGATGCGATCATGGAAACACGTCGCTCTCCAGTGAATTTACACTCGGTTTACACTTTGTAGCGAAGCTATCACGAATGAGTTTATTTGCAAAATCAATCTCAGTATAACCAATAAGTACAGTAAATTTGGAGAAGATGTCTTATTCACAGCAAAAGTTATGGAGGGATACAGATTTTATCAGGCTGTGTGGCATCGGCTGCCAAAATGTGTGCCCCCCCATCTGTAATCCATATTGCCTTTGCCATCACAAAGGGTGTATTGGCCAAATAAGTCACAGTACAACCAATAAGTACAGTAACTTTGGAGAAGATGTCTTATTCACAGCAAAAGTTATGGAGGGATACAAAATTTATCAGGCTGTATGGCATTGGCTGCCAAAATGTGTTCCCCCCCCCCCATCAATAATGCACCTTCACGAAAGAGTTTATTTACAAAATAAATAACAGTATAACTAATAACTACTGTAACTTTGGAGACCATTTGGTTTTTTTAGACTTCTTAATTTAACATCTACATCTATATATGTAGATATGTGTTCTCGACAATGTGTGCCATAAGAACACTAGCTGTGGACCTTTAGTGTCAACTATGTATAAGCGAAACAAATAAACACATCTTCTGGTGGTGGGCTTTTCACGCAGAGCTGGTGGAACCACCGCAAACACATCTCACACTGAATCTGTAAAAAAATAAATAATTACAAATCCCAATGTTAAAAATTCATTTATGGGAATTGATCATAACATTTAGCAGTCTTTCTTGATGTCATTACCCATTTGTTGTCAGTTTCATGCTCTTCTTCCCCCGCAGAAATGACAGATGTTTGTCAAGTCATCTGTTTTAAAAAGTGAAAAAATAGCACATAGAGTACACTACCTACTAGTCTACTGACTCTTTTCGCAAGATCTTTTCAGCAAACTGAAAAAGAGATTCTAAGATGACTAAATAGGCTAATATCGTAAATGTTATTTTATAGTAATTTGTTTTCTGTGAATCAATTTCTTTCTTTTATTGTGTAATTATCTTATATTCCTTTTCCTGTCATTAACATTTATTACAACACAACATTTCCAATATTCTCGTATATATGTATGTATTACTGTTAAGACTCGTACTTTCAATGCAAAGACTCCACATGAGGTAGCGTCCACTTGTTTTGGGTGTTTGACTGTGTCACAAGTCCATCTTGAGACGTTGCATCCTTTTTTTTTCGCATGAATGCCCTGAAAGACAAGTACAATAAAAACAAATAACATGTTTTAAAATTTTGGTGACACAAGAAGGTGAACAGTATGGAGAGCTTAAGTGTCTGTTGAACATCAAGTTAAGAACTGACCACACTGTTTTGTTAAAATCATTACTTTTTAAAAGTCTACAACGCATTTCCGTGGACAATTACTTGTGCTTTTTTCCCCGTTTCTGCCCATGATATAGAAATCAATCACTTACACAGTACACTTTGAAGAGATGTGGAGGAGGAGCAAAGATGGAATTCACACATGTATAACCTATGTGAAATTATTTTAGACATTTGTCTGATGTTTTAGTGCTAAACCTCCGCAACACTTTATGCAACTACTAAACATTATTCTCCCCGTGCTATATTTTCTAATGTAAAAACATCATCTCATACAGACATCAGGTCCTCAAATAAACATTGAAACATGGGGAGACTTCTCTTTAAAGGCAAAATTAATCCATAATACCACAATATCAGAAGGCCAACACAAAAATTAAAACCTGTTGCTGCTATTTTTTTAATTGTGAGTACCAATTTTTTTTTTTTGATTGACATCATACTTATAATTGTCATAATAAACACAAAAATAACAACAACAACACAGAGTTTAAAAAAGGGTCAAAATAAATTTAAACATTTATCCTTACCTTGTTGATTCCAAACAATTTTGGATACCTTGTTTAGTTTCTCCAAGTGGATCAAGATACAGTGACTTCTTTTCTTGTGGGTAAATGACCTACAGTAAAATTATGTGGAGAATTACATGTAATAATTCAAGACTTAAGATTATCTGCATGCCATGCATTTGTCTTATAAAACTGATTTGATGAATATTGTAAATGCAATTATTTTTTTTACCACTAATGTCCAGTGATGATGTTCATTTACAATTCCCAGAATGACTTCATGCTCCATGGGTTTATCTTAAATTGAAACAAAACAATAAAAATATTCACTTCAGAAAGAAATGCAATAACATGTTGTTTAGAGTCCTTTTTTATTAAAGCCATTTATGATATATTATATATCATCCACTTATAAAGTACTCTGCGACAGCCATGATTCACCCCTCATTTCTTTAACCTGTGCAAGAAGCTGGACTATCTTATATTTTTTATAAGTGGTTTTGCACATTACTTCCTCCAAGACTAATAAAGGTCTTTCTAAGGATTTCTTTTGGACATGGAGTTCATTTTCAATCATTTTCAATGCGATCCTTTTACCATCTGCAGAATAATGTTTAATGCTTTCTTAAGCCTCTTTAACAGTGACATAAGAATCACTTGATAATAAAAAGGTACCTATTAAAGAGATGAAGCAGTGTTGATGATTTCAAAAGAGATATTAGCCCAAATGTTTGCAATTCTCAAATCAAGCATTGATTGGAGTTTGTACAAAAAGAGGAGGAAACCAGACAAGCAGAGAACAAAAGAGAACTGTCAAGTCTAATAAACTATCCACATCTACTAACCCCAGTCTCAATTATTCTTTCTGCATAAGCTGTTATCCAATCTAAATCTGGATGTGGATATGATCAGAGTACTTAAACAATACACACAAGATTCTTTCTAGAGATACCTACCTTGAGTCTTGGAGCTTTTCTCTTCCAAATGGCAGTCATTGAAAATGAATCAACGAATGCCAAAATAAACAAGAACAGCCACATTCTTCAAATGTTCTGAGTGAAACGAAACTTTCAGAGCATTCGTGAAACTCATTCAGTGCTTCCTGGTGTTGTGCCACAGTAGTTACTCCCATCAAAAATTGTTTCCCCATTCACGGGAGCGCGCAAAGTAGGAGGAGCCACTTGCCCAGCTCCGTTCTGTACGCTACTTGTCACTGATCTGCAGATAAAGTAAAAGCTGGAAAACAGCAGACTCGATGAATTTAATATTAGTTTCGTGACATTGTAATGTGCCGTGTGGAAGACAGTTTACCTTATACTGTACACTTAAATAACCTGCTGGGAATACTTTGTCTAGAAAAAGACTTTGATACTATAATACTGTAAAACCAGATGCGATCATGGAAACATGTCGCTCTCCAGTGAATTTACACTCGGTTTACACTTTGTAGCGACGCTATCACGAATGAGTTCATTTGCAAAATCAATGTCAATCTAACCAATAAGTACAGTAACTTTGGAGAAGATGTCTTATTCACAGCAAAAGTTATGGAGGGATACAGATTTTATCAGGCTGTGTGGCATCGGCTGCCAAAATGTGTGCCCCCCCCATTTGTAATCCATATTGGCTTTGTTACTACAAAGGGTATATTTGCCAAATAAGTCACAGTATAACCAATAAGTACAGTAACTTTAGAGAAGATGTCTTATTCACAGCAAAAGTTATGGAGGGATACAGATTTTATCAGGCTGTGTGGCATCGGCTGCCAAAATGTGTGCCCCCCATCTGTAATCCATATTGGCTTTGTTACTACAAAGGGTATATTTGCCAAATAAGTCACAGTATAATCAATAAGTACAGTAACTTTGGAGAAGATGTCTTATTCACAGCAAAAGTTATGGAGGGATACAGATTTTATCAGGCTGTGTGGCATCGGCTGCCAAAATGTGTGCCCCCCCCCATCAATAATGCACCTTGGCGTTGCTATCACGAAAGAGTTTATTTGCAAAATAAATAAAAGTATAACTAAAAACTACAGTAACTTTGGAGACCATTTGGTTTTTTTTAGACTTCTTAATTTAACATCTACATCTATATATGTAGATATGTGTTCTCGACAATGTGTGCCGTAAGAACACTAGCTGTGGACCTGTAGTGTCAACTATGTACAAGCGAAACAAATAAACACATCTTCTGGTGGTGGGCTTTTCACGCAGAGCTGGTGGAACCACCGCAAACACATCTCACACTGAATCTGTAAAAAAATAAATAATTACAAATCCCAATGTTAAAATTTCATTTATGGGAATTGATCATAACATTTAGCAGTCTTTCTTGATGTCATTACCCATTTGTTTTCAGTTTCATGCTCTTCTTCCCCGCAGAAATGACAGATGTTTGTCAAGTCATCTGTTTTAAAAAGTGAAAAAATAGCACATAGAGTATACTACCTACTGCACTTATTACTTCATTCAAACAACTATATGGTTTGTTTCTACAGCCATCATGATGAAAATATTCATGATGTGAGAACATTGAATGGTGGAAAATGAGTTACCTGTCTCTAGGAGAAGAGTGGTGGCAATTTGCAGCCTGTGTGTGTTTATGGCCTTTTTTGTAGACGGAAAGTTTATTGACTCTTTTCGCAAGATCTTTTCAGCAAGCTGAAAAAGAGATTCTAAGATGACTAAATAGGCTAATATCGTAAATGTTATTTTATAGTACTTTGTTTTCTGTGAATCAATTTCTTTCTTTTATTGTGTAATTATCTTATATTCCTTTTCCTGTCATTAACATTGATTACAACACAACATTTCCAATATTCTCGTATATATGTATGTATTACGGTTAAGACTCGTACTTTCAATGCAAAGACTCCACATGAGGCAGCGTCCACTTGTTTTGGGTGTTTGACTGTGTCACAAGTCCATCTTGAGACGTTGCATCCTTTTTTTCGCATGAATGCCCTGAAAGACAAGTACAATAAAAACAAATAACATGTTTTAAAATTTTGGTGACACAAGAAGGTGAACAGTATGGAGAGCTTAAGTGTCTGTTGAACATCAAGTTAAGAACTGACCACATGTTTTGTTAAAATCATTACTTTTTAAAAGTCTACAACGCATTTCCGTGGACAATTACTTGTGCTTTTTTTCCCGTTTCCGCCCATGATATAGAAATCAATCACTTACACAGTACACTTTGAAGAGATGTGGAGGAGGAGCAAAGATGAAATTCACACATGTATAACCTATGTGAAATTATTTTAGACATTTGTCTGATGTTTTAGTGCTAAACCTCCGCAACACTTTATGCAACTACTAAACATTATTCTCCCCGTGCTATATTTTCTAATGTAAAACATCATCTCATACAGACATCAGGTCCTCAAATAAACATTGAAACATGGGGAGACTTCTCTTTAAAGGCAAAATTAACCCATAACACCACAATATCAGAAGGCCAACACAAACATTAAACCTGTTGCTGCTATTTTTTTAATTGTGAGTACCAATTTTTTTTTTTTTTGATTGACATCATACTTATAATTGTCATAATAAACACAAAAATAACAACAGCAACAAAGAGTTTAATAAAGGGTCAAAATAAATTTCTACATTTATCCTTACCTTGTTGATTCCAAACAATTTTGGATACCTTGTTTAGTTTCTCCGAGTGGATCAAGATACAGTGACTTCTTTTCTTGTGGGTAAATGACCTACAGTAAAATTATGTGGAGAATTACATGTAATAATTCAAGACTTAAGATTATCTGCATGCCATGCATTTGTCTTATAAAACTGATTTGATGAATATTGTAAATGCAATTATTTTTTTACCACTAATGTCCAGTGATGATGCTCATTTACAATTCCCAGAATGACTTCATGCTCCATGGGTTTGATCTTAAATTGAAACAAAACAATAAAAATATTCACTTCAGAAAGAAATGCAATAACATGTTGTTCAGAGTCCTTTTTTATTAAAGCAATTTATGATATATTATATATCATCCACTTATAAAGTGCTCTGCGACAGCCATGATTCACCCCTCATTTCTTTAACCTGTGCAAGAAGCTGGACTATCTTATATTTTTATAAGTGGTTTTGCACATTACTTCCTCCAAGACTAATAAAGGTCTTTCTAAGGTTTTTTTTGGACATGGAGTTCATTTTCAATCATTTTCAATGTGATCCTTTTACCATCTGCAGAATAATGTTTAATGCTTTCTTAAGCCTCTTTAACAGTGACGTATGAATCACTTGATAATAAAAAGGTACCTATTAAAGAGATGAAGCAGTGTTGATGATTTCAAAAGAGATATTAGCCCAAATGTTTACAATTCACAAATCAAGCATTGATTGGAGTTTGTACAAAAAGAGGAGGAAACCAGACAAGCAGAGAACAAAAGAGAACTGTCAAGTCTAATAAACTATCCACATCTACTAACCCCAGTCTCAATTTATTCTTTCTGCATAAGCTGTTATCCAATCTAAATCTGGATGTGGATATGATCAGAGGTACTTAAACAATACACACAAGATTCTTTCTAGAGATACCTACCTTGAGTCTTGGAGCTTTTCTCTTCCAAATGGCAGTCATTGAAAATGAATCAACGAATGCCAAAATAAACAAGAACAGCCACATTCTTCAAATGTTCTGAGTGAAACGAAACTTTCAGAGCATTCGTGAAACTCATTCAGTGCTTCCTGGTGTTGTGCCACAGTAGTTACTCCCATCAAAAATTGTTTCCCCATTCACGGGAGCGCGCAAAGTAGGAGGAGCCACTTGCCCAGCTCCGTTCTGTACGCTACTTGTCACTGATCTGCAGATAAAGTAAAAGCTGGAAAACAGCAGACTCGATGAATTTAATATTAGTTTCGTGACATTGTAATGTGCCGTGTGGAAGACAGTTTACCTTATACTGTACACTTAAATAACCTGCTGGGAATACTTTGTCTAGAAAAAGACTTTGATACTATAATACTGTAAAACCAGATGCGATCATGGAAACATGTCGCTCTCCAGTGAATTTACACTCGGTTTACACTTTGTAGCGACGCTATCACGAATGAGTTCATTTGCAAAATCAATGTCAATCTAACCAATAAGTACAGTAACTTTGGAGAAGATGTCTTATTCACAGCAAAAGTTATGGAGGGATACAGATTTTATCAGGCTGTGTGGCATCGGCTGCCAAAATGTGTGCCCCCCCCATTTGTAATCCATATTGGCTTTGTTACTACAAAGGGTATATTTGCCAAATAAGTCACAGTATAACCAATAAGTACAGTAACTTTGGAGAAGATTCTTATTCACAGCAAAAGTTATGGAGGGATACAGATTTTATCAGGCTGTGTGGCATCGGCTGCCAAAATGTGTGCCCCCCCCATTTGTAATCCATATTGGCTTTGTTACTACAAAGGGTATATTTGCCAAATAAGTCACAGTATAATCAATAAGTACAGTAACTTTGGAGAAGATGTCTTATTCACAGCAAAAGTTATGGAGGGATACAGATTTTATCAGGCTGTGTGGCATCGGCTGCCAAAATGTGTGCCCCCCCATCTGTAATCCATATTGGCTTTGTTACTACAAAGGGTATATTTGCCAAATAAGTCACAGTATAATCAATAAGTACAGTAACTTTGGAGAAGATGTCTTATTCACAGCAAAAGTTATGGAGGGATACAGATTTTATCAGGCTGTGTGGCATCGGCTGCCAAAATGTGTGCCCCCCCCATCAATAATGCACCTTGGCGTTGCTATCACGAAAGAGTTTATTTGCAAAATAAATAACAGTATAACTAATAACTACAGTAACTTTGGAGACCATTTGGTTTTTTTTAGACTTCTTAATTTAACATCTACATCTATATATGTAGATATGTGTTCTCGACAATGTGTGCCGTAAGAACACTAGCTGTGGACCTGTAGTGTCAACTATGTACAAGCGAAACAAATAAACACATCTTCTGGTGGTGGGCTTTTCACGCAGAGCTGGTGGAACCACCGCAAACACATCTCACACTGAATCTGTAAAAAAATAAATAATTACAAATCCCAATGTTAAAATTTCATTTATGGGAATTGATCATAACATTTAGCAGTCTTTCTTGATGTCATTACCCATTTGTTTTCAGTTTCATGCTCTTCTTCCCCGCAGAAATGACAGATGTTTGTCAAGTCATCTGTTTTAAAAAGTGAAAAAATAGCACATAGAGTATACTACCTACTGCACTTATTACTTCATTCAAACAACTATATGGTTTGTTTCTACAGCCATCATGATGAAAATATTCATGATGTGAGAACATTGAATGGTGGAAAATGAGTTACCTGTCTCTAGGAGAAGAGTGGTGGCAATTTGCAGCCTGTGTGTGTTTATGGCCTTTTTTGTAGACGGAAAGTTTATTGACTCTTTTCGCAAGATCTTTTCAGCAAACTGAAAAGAGATTCTAAGATGACTAAATAGGCTAATATCGTAAATGTTATTTTATAGTACTTTGTTTTCTGTGAATCAATTTCTTTCTTTTATTGTGTAATTATCTTATATTCCTTTTCCTGTCATTAACATTGATTACAACACAACATTTCCAATATTCTCGTATATATGTATGTATTACGGTTAAGAATCAGAATCAGAATCAGAAACTTTATTGTCATTGTCATGAGAACAACGAAATTAAGAATGGTCCCCGATCATTGCATCATCCCTAGCAATATCAAAATATAAATAAAACAATAAAATTCAATAAATAAAATAGATAGAATACTTAAAATACTAATAAGATATAACAGTAAAACATTCACATACATTCCCACACACATGCTTCAGACCGTGCATAGATTAACACAAGAGTGGCGTGATGGACATTTTTTGTAGTATTCAGATGTGTTATTGCAGTTGGATAACAGCTGTGTTTGAGTCTATTAGTCCTTGCTCTGATTGCCCTGTACCGTCTGCCTGAGGGCAACAGTTTGAACAGGGAGTGGCCAGGATGTGAGGTGTCTTTTATGATGTTTTGGGCCTTTTTAAAACAGTGGGCGTTGTGTAGAACTTCCAGTGTGGGGAGAGGGCAGCCAGTGATCTTTTGGGCGGTGATTAATGATCCCTTGGAGTGCTTTCCTCTGAGCCCCTGTGCAGCTAGTGTACCAGATGCATATGCAGTAAGTTAGAACACTCTCAATGGTGGCTCTGTAGAAGGACACCAGCAGTCTCTGTGTGATGTTATTCCTCCTGAGAATTCTCAGGAAGTACAGTCTCTGTTGGGCCTTTTTCAGCAGCTCGGAGGTGTTCACACTCCAGGAAAGGTTCTCCTCTATATTGACTCCCAGGAAGCGGAAGCTTGCCACCCTTTCTACACAGTCCCCATTTATGAATAGTGGTTGGATCTCTGCCTTTTTCCTTCTGAAGTCTATTATGAGTTCTTTGGTTTTTGAAGTGTTGAGGAGGAGGTTATTGGCCTTACACCATGACGTCAGCTGCTCCACCTCGTCTCTGTACGTAGACTTGTCTCCCTTGGAAATGAGCCCCACCACTGTGGTGTCATCTGCAAATTTCACAAAGATGTTGCTGTGGTGGCGAGGAGTGCAGTCGTGTGTGTAGAGAGAGTAGAGCAGTGGACTGAGCACACAGCCCTGGGGTGAGCCAGTGCTGAGACTCAGGGCTGAGGATGTGTGATGGCCAACTCTGACTCTCTGTCTACGGCCCGAGAGGAAGCTATTGATCCACATGCAGGTGCTGTATGGAAGCCCAGGTCTTGTAGCTTGGCCACCAGTTTGTGTGGAAGGATGGTGTTAAAAGCTGAGCAGTAATCCACGAAGAGCATCCGCACATAGCTACCATGCTCTTCCAGGTGAGTTAATGCAGCATGGAGTGCTGTGGCTACAGCGTCTTCCGTGGATCGGTTTGCTCTGTAGGCAAACTGGTGTGGATCCAGGCTGCGGGGCAGGGCTGCTGTGATGTGTCTGCGGACCAGCTTCTCAAAGCATTTCATTACCACTGGGGTGAGTGCCACCGGTCTGTAAGACTCGTACTTTCAATGCAAAGACTCCACATGAGGCAGCGTCCACTTGTTTTGGGTGTTTGACTGTGTCACAAGTCCATCTTGAGACGTTGCATCCTTTTTTTTGCATGAATGCCCTGAAAGACAAGTACAATAAAACAAATAACATGTTTTAAAATTTTGGTGACACAAGAAGGTGAACAGTATGGAGAGCTTAAGTGTCTGTTGAACATCAAGTTAAGAACTGACCACACTGTTTTGTTAAAATCATTACTTTTTAAAAGTCTACAACGCATTTCCGTGGACAATTACTTGTGCTTTTTTCCCCGTTTCTGCCCATGATATAGAAATCAATCACTTACACAGTACACTTTGAAGAGATGTGGAGGAGGAGCAAAGATGGAATTCACACATGTATAACCTATGTGAAATTATTTTAGACATTTGTCTTATGTTTTAGTGCTAAACCTCTGCAACACTTTATGCAACTACTAAACATTATTCTCCCCATGCTATATTTTCTAATGTAAAAACATCATCTCATACAGACATCAGGTCCTCAAATAAACATTGAAACATGGGGAGACTTCTCTTTAAAGGCAAAATTAACCCATAACACCACAATATCAGAAGGCCAACACAAACATTAAACCTGTTGCTGCTATTTTTTTAATTGTGAGTACCAATTTTTTTTTTTTTTGATTGACATCATACTTATAATTGTCATAATAAACACAAAAATAACAACAGCAACAAAGAGTTTAATAAAGGGTCAAAATAAATTTCAACATTTATCCTTACCTTGTTGATTCCAAACAATTTTGGATACCTTGTTTAGTTTCTCCGAGTGGATCAAGATACAGTGACTTCTTTTCTTGTGGGTAAATGACCTACAGTAAAATTATGTGGAGAATTACATGTAATAATTCAAGACTTAAGATTATCTGCATGCCATGCATTTGTCTTATAAAACTGATTTGATGAATATTGTAAATGCAATTATTTTTTTACCACTAATGTCCAGTGATGATGCTCATTTACAATTCCCAGAATGACTTCATGCTCCATGGGTTTGATCTTAAATTGAAACAAAACAATAAAAATATTCACTTCAGAAAGAAATGCAATAACATGTTGTTCAGAGTCCTTTTTTATTAAAGCAATTTATGATATATTATATATCATCCACTTATAAAGTGCTCTGCGACAGCCATGATTCACCCCTCATTTCTTTAACCTGTGCAAGAAGCTGGACTATCTTATATTTTTATAAGTGGTTTTGCACATTACTTCCTCCAAGACTAATAAAGGTCTTTCTAAGGTTTTTTTGGACATGGAGTTCATTTTCAATCATTTTCAATGTGATCCTTTTACCATCTGCAGAATAATGTTTAATGCTTTCTTAAGCCTCTTTAACAGTGACGTATGAATCACTTGATAATAAAAAGGTACCTATTAAAGAGATGAAGCAGTGTTGATGATTTCAAAAGAGATATTAGCCCAAATGTTTACAATTCACAAATCAAGCATTGATTGGAGTTTGTACAAAAAGAGGAGGAAACCAGACAAGCAGAGAACAAAAGAGAACTGTCAAGTCTAATAAACTATCCACATCTACTAACCCCAGTCTCAATTTATTCTTTCTGCATAAGCTGTTATCCAATCTAAATCTGGATGTGGATATGATCAGAGGTACTTAAACAATACACACAAGATTCTTTCTAGAGATACCTACCTACCTTGAGTCTTGGAGCTTTTCTCTTCCAAATGGCAGTCATTGAAAATGAATCAATGAATGCTGCTTTTGCTGAATTATGACGATTGCATTGTCTCACCATGATCTCAAGATATGCATTAATAGACTGCGAATACAAAATGTAAACATTTGTTAACTGTTGTCAAGGAATAAAACACTGATAGTTGCATTGTTGTCAGTAAAGATCACTATACCTCACTTTCCAACTCCATGTCCGGACCAATTTGTTGGATATCCCAGTAGAATAATTTGTAAGCACCAATTCTGGAGAGTAGAATGTGAGGACTCTTTCCAGCCCAGGCATCCATTATATCTACAAAAAGTAATAAGAAAAAGAGATAAGTCAGCAGGACTAAATGTAAATCAAAATTTAAAATGCATAATTTCTTATGTAGTGTCTGACAAAAGACGTGTTTCAGGGTAAATACTTTTAAGACGCTGATAAAATGGGCACATGGTTTAACATTGTATTTTACCCCCAAATAAAAGCAAATTTAAGTGCTCTTTTTTTTTTTTTTACAAAGTTACACTTGCAATGTTCTACAAAGACATTTAAATAAATTCATATTAATATAAGAAAAGAAATTTAAATACATAGCAATAGAAATGCTCTTGCCCCCTATCAAATCTTTTTTCCAGCAGAAACACCTATTACAACAATTTTTTAAAATTATGTTTAGTTGAAGCTACATGACTATATTTTAAAATACTCAGGCTCAAGGCTTGCACCTGTGGCCTTTACTATTACATAACCGTTTCTGGTAAAATGTTATTTTTCTCCTCCAAAACTAGTTTTATTATCTCTAAAATAGAGTGTCAATTTTTGGGCTGTTAAAAGCAGCGTCTTAAAGAGTATTTGATCTTTCGAACTGTTGCTGGCAGGCAGTCATCATCACAACATTAATATACTTCTTGTAGTGGGCATTCTATGTCACTATGACAGCAATTTTGGAAAAGAAGAAAATGAAGAACATACACTACTAGTCAAAATCTGGGACACACCTTCCCATTCAGTGTTTTTCTGTGTGTTCATGCAGTGACAATCATCTTAGGTGACTACCCCATGAAGCTCACTGACAGAAGGCCTAGAGTGTGCAAAGCAGTGATCAAAGCAAAGGGTGGCTAATTTGAAGAATCTAAGATATAAAAAATATTTTTGGTTCTTTCATACTTTTTGGTTTACTACATCATTTGTGTTAGGGTTAGTGCTCCATATGTGTCCATTCATAGTTTTGATGCCTCAAGTTCTAATCAACAATGAATCTACAAAATAGACAAGGAAATTAAGAAGCAACATTAAAATGAAGGTGTGTCCAAACTTTTCACTCTTAGTGTACATCAGATGTACAATATCAATCATGAACATTCTGGGTTACACAACAACAAAAGAAAGATTCACAGTTTTGAAGGACTCACTTTTTCATTTGTGTAATTTTACACGTGGCTTACATTCTTTTACAAGTTTTCTATAATGTTTTGCCCCATGAATGTTTTTTTAAAGAATTAACATATTGTTAAATTTAAATATTCTGTTAGGAAATATACCTAACAAAAGCTTTTTAAAGGTGTAAAATTTCCTATGCCATGATCTACAGAGTAATGAAACAAACACTGTCATAGGAACAAAAGTCCTTTTTTAAAAAATAAAAAAATATTATATTTATTTACATTTCTCTGCAACTGTTGGTTCTATGGTTTGTGTTGTAGATTGCTGGGCTGTAATCTGTGGAGCTGAGGCTTGTGTGGTTGTAGCATTTGGAGCTGTGGCCTGTGAGGCTGGGTCTGCTGTTGTGGTCGGGTCTGCCGTTGTGGTTTGTGAGGCTGGGTCTGCTGTTGTGGTTTGTGAGGCTAGGTCTGCTGTTGTGGTCGGGTCTGCCGTTGTGGTTTGTGAGGCTGGGTCTGCTGCTGTTGTGGTCTGTGAGGCTGGGTCTGCTGTTGTGGTCGGGTCTGCTGCTGTTGTGGTCTGTGAGGCTGGGTCTGCTGTTGTGGTCGGGTCTGCCGTTGTGGTTTGTGAGGCTGGGTCTGCTGTTGTGGTCGGGTCTGCCGTTGTGGTTTGTGAGGCTGGGTCTGCTGTTGTGGTCGGGTCTGCTGCTATTGTGGTCTGTGAGGCTGGGTCTGCTGTTCTGGTCGGGTCTGCTGTTGTGGTCTGTGAGGCTGGGTCTGCTGTTGTGGTCGGGTCTGCTGTTGTGGTTTGTGAGGCTAGGTCTGCTGTTGTGGTCGGGTCTGCCGTTGTGGTTTGTGAGGCTGGGTCTGCTGCTGTTGTGGTCTGTGAGGCTGGGTCTGCTGTTGTGGTCGGGTCTGCTGCTGTTGTGGTCTGTGAGGCTAGGTCTGCTGTTGTGGTCGGGTCTGCTGTTGTGGTTTGTGAGGCTAGGTCTGCTGTTGTGGTCGGGTCTGCCGTTGTGGTTTGTGAGGCTGGGTCTGCTGCTGTTGTGGTCTGTGAGGCTGGGTCTGCTGTTGTGGTCGGGTCTGCTGCTGTTGTGGTCTGTGAGGCTGGGTCTGCTGTTGTGGTCGGGTCTGCCGTTGTGGTTTGTGAGGCTGGGTCTGCTGTTGTGGTCGGGTCTGCTGCTATTGTGGTCTGTGAGGCTGGGTCTGCTGTTCTGGTCGGGTCTGCTGTTGTGGTCTGTGAGGCTGGGTCTGCTGTTGTGGTCGGGTCTGCTGTTGTGGTTTGTGAGGCTAGGTCTGCTGTTGTGGTCGGGTCTGCCGTTGTGGTTTGTGAGGCTGGGTCTGCTGCTGTTGTGGTTTGTGAGGCTGGGTCTGCTGCTGTTGTGGTCTGTGAGGCTAGGTCTGCTGTTGTGTTCGGGTCTGCCGTTGTGGTTTGTGAGGCTGGGTCTGCTGTTGTGGTCGGGTCTGCTGCTGTTGTGGTCTGTGAGGCTGGGTCTGCTGTTGTGGTCGGGTCTGCTGTTGTGGTCTTTGAGGCTGGGTCGGCTGCTGTTTTGGATTCGGTTTGTAGAGCTGTAGCGTGTTCTGGTGCTGTAGCACTTGTGGCTGGTTCTGGTGGTTCATTCTCTTTCTGTGCTGTTGCTCCTGACTCTGGTTCTGATACCGTTATTGGTATACCTTGTGGAACTGGAAATGGATGTTTAGTTTGAACTGGTAGTGATGTAAGTGATGCCATTGGTGCTGTAGCCTGTGTAGCTCTAGGAGGAGGTGGTGGTGCTACCGCCACTGGTGCTGCTGTAGCCTGTGAAGCTAGAGCAGATGCTGGTGCTGCTGGACCTGGTTGTGCTGTTAGTAATGTGGCTGCTGTTTTCTTTAAACCTCGGTGTGGCACTCTTGGCATGCTGTCTTTGCTTAACTTTAGTTGGTCAATATTTACTTTTGGAATGATTGTCCCATTGGAATCCTGAAGATCTGCACTTTTACCTTGGATTGCTGTAATAATGTAAGGGCCTAAAAAGTTTGCTTCAAGTTTACCCCTTTCCTCTGCTGGCTTCTTATGTTAGCTCTTAAAACTTTGTCACCAACTTTGAAGACGACATCTCTGTTCATCATTTTTATTTTGCCCTTTGTTTTTTCTTGAGCTTAGACCACATTGTCCTTCACCAGTTCCAACAGTTTTTGATGCTTTTGAATGTCTTCCGACACCTCCTCCTGCCCACAATGTCTTCCACACTCTCATCAACCTTTGAATCAAAAGACATGTCTATCATTACTATAATTTGTGTAAGATACACAGATAATACATAAAAGAACTGAGAAATACAGTGAAAATTTACATTAAGTGTCTTTGGTAAGGTTTTAAGACACAATGTATTTCTGGCAAAGCTTCAGTGTATCCTGGGATTGATTGGACATGAAGAAAACTGTTATTGAGGGGTGGAACAATCCATAGATATATTCAGTGGTGTACTGCTTTTATAGCATCCATTGAAACTGATCTGCCTGCACCTCAAAAACTAAAAAAGTTTCGTTGTGTGGGATTTCCGTGTAGTTTGTCACAGACAAAAAGACATACCATGAACTCTTCTGGGATTTCGCAAGGATAGCGAGCCTCTCTGCCAAACATTAGGTAATAAGGCGAGTATTTGGTGGTCACTTGTTTTTTAGTTCTGAGTTCAAACATTACAGCGTCCAGATACTCATCCCACATTTCTGGTTGGTCGCCAACGACTTTACACAGGGCTCTGACAATGAAAGCACAGAGAAGACATTCATATGAAAGATCATTTACAGTTTTTAATAGTTTAATGTCATGCATTAATGTTTTGTTTGAAGGGAACCCCATAAATGTATAACATGTACTCCAAGAATTTACCTCTGGATGGTGCCATTCATTTTCTCCACCAGCCCATTCGTTTGAGGGTGATAGGGGGAGCACAGGCTTCTTTTAATTTTTAACAATCCACAAACCCTTTTGTTGAGCTGCAAAAGAAAGTTATATACACTGGCTATAAGCACATTACAATAAGAATTTAAATAAACAGCTGTCATACTAATATTTCAACAACAGATCTATAAAGACCAGAAAATTAACCATTTTCAAAAAATTATTCAAATATGAGTTCACATATTTTTGCCAAAGACTAAAGTACTTACAGAATTGACAAATTCTTTGCCTTGGTCAGTAAGAATCCTTTTCGGGGCTTCGAACTGGTGGACGAATTTTATGAGACAGTTTGTCACTTCCCCGGCTGATTTTGACTTTAAAGGGTATGCTTGTGGCCATTTTGTAAAATAATCAATAAAAACACATATGTATTGATGTCCATTGTTGGTTTTAGTAAGTTTTCCAATGAGGTCCATCCCAACCAGTTCAAATGGCTGAGAGACCTTAAAAAGAAAATCATAGTTAAGTTAATAATACTGAAATTAAACGGAATGCTAGTCTACTGTTATAATTTTTTCAAGTATATAATCAGTAGGTTTCTAAGCAATGAAAACATTGTGTGATTAAATGTGATTATTTGCTATGGTCGATGACTAACCTTTATCGGAATGTATTCTGCTGGTTTTTTAATTGTTGCAGCACTTGCCTGGCAAAGTGCGCACTGGGAAACCTAATCAAAAATAAAAGCAATTCAATAA